GCCAATAACCCGAACCTCACAAGTAGATAACCATGCAACCTAATCGTAGGAGGTGGAACTCTCCCACTTAGCTTGAAGCCACCATTACGCAACTATGGAACCCACCAAGATTCCTTATCTCCTATTGACATAACCTTGCACAATCAAACCGCTAAAATCCTCGAAATCCTTCTGTTAAAACCCTTTATGAATACTCCAATTCATTAACCACATTCATATGACCGATCTCCGTACCGTAGACGGCAGAATTCTTCGCAGAAGCTTTGCCAACCACGCGACCGTTGATCTGCTCACAGGAGATAACCCACCTGTGGAAATTACATGCCGACATCCCCCAACGACACTGCACGGGTTACAATCATTATGACATCTATAACCATTTTGAGCCCGTGCTCATTCGCCTACTGCACTAGTCCGTTCTCTTCTTATGGACATCAACTAAATACACGACAATATCTTCCAATTCAAAATCATGTTGTATCCTTCTTCACATCAAGAAACTCCTTTCCGTTGTATCAAATCTCCTGTCGTACAATGGCCGATATTATAAGTCAAGTCTGAAAACCTAGTCACTGATCACCCTACATCCCAATTCACTCTAGACTTTTTCTCCGGGTGTGTAGTTATCCTACCACTGATCCTATATGCTACTATGCCACTCTCCCACTTTGGTCAAACTCACTCCTCTAAGCAACTGCTCGGTAGGCTTTCTAGAAGTTCAATCACCACAAGACACTTCCCACATGTCCTTCCTCGTCCCTTGCCGCCCAGTTGTTGCCTTAAATCAACATCTATCTCTGTAGCACTTGCACTAACAGATCGCTACTACTTTAAACCTTTCCGAAGATCATCTTTCCCGAGTCGTCGACATTAGAAACACCGATTCAATCCGGAACCACCGCACACCGCGATCTCTGACAGCCGTTTTCTTCAATATTATCTCACAATATCCTGCTCCAAAGGCGAATTGTAGAAGATCATAACACCGGCGAACTTAATATATTCAATCGAGGATGACGACACCACGTCGTAGATCCCTAATATCTGAATCATACACTTAGTAAACCTCCTCTCAAGTCATTCACTGCCCCGACACATAGGCAAGCATTCCACCCTCTCATCAATACTACGGGATAACCGTTCATAAGCATCATAGCAACCTGTGCATAACCTAGAAGCTCTTAGAAGTACACCTACTGAGATGAAACGACATAACATCAGGTGACGATAAAAGCTCAAACAACCACGCAGGGAGCAACATCCCGCACCACATTCGTAGTACCATTACAATTACTCACTCGCCGATTCATGACCAGCGCTTCGCGTCGCATAAGATTAAATGGAAAGGAAATGAAGGCATAAGCCTCAAAGGGAATCAAATCGCATGATGAGCAATCAAGAAGGGAAGTGCTCCTAACAGCCCTGTAGCCTCTCGAAGATAAGTACAAACGTCTCCGTACCGATCCACAAGACTCTACTAGCTTGCTCATGACTCGTGAGACCTAAGTGAACCTAGAGAGGCAGACGGTACTAGAGAGGAGAGGAATTCTCGAGGGGCAAGTGCACAAATAGCCATTTTTAGGGATGCTATTTAGAGATTAGCCAGTACTTATTTTGTCCTGAAATTTTAAATGAAAAATCTTAACTTCGGAACAATTCAAAATATTTTTGTCCTAAAAATTTTAGAATTAAAAAACTAAAATTTATGACGTACTGGCTAATTTTTAAAAAGCAACCCTTTGGAGTGGCTACCTAGTGTTATTTTCACAATTCTCGAAGGCAAATGATTGAACGAGAGAGGAGACAAATGACGTTAAGTTGGGCCGTACAAGTCTGCAAAATCCAACATGTTGACATCCCCAAATCTAGTTGCAAATCTCTTTTTCGGTCTTTGCTTTTGTCACCACAGCCTTTTTCTAGATGACAAATTCTACTGGACTGGGCCTGCGGTGGCCTTTTTAAAGGCTTTAAGCATATAGTTAAGAGGTATTATCACTTTTAGCACGTGCCAGAAATTATTAATTCTGATAGTTGAAAAATATGTAAAATTTGTATAATTTTATATAATATATAGAATATATGCATATACAAAGAATGTATAAATTTTATATTTTTTGAGCTATTATTTTTGCAGTGGCTATACAGTGTCATTCACTATATAGTTAACTTATGTGGGTTGGACTCAGATGCTCGATAACAGGCCTGGGCTTTAAACAAAGTTCGACGGCATTTAGACCTTGCAATCTCCAATATTGGTGTTATGTACCTCAGCAAACTTCTTCTTTTTTTCTTATTCAAATTTTCGCAAAATGTATAACATTTCAAGTGAATTGCCATTATTTCTCTAACATAACAGTTAAATGATCAAGAGATTACAATTGGAGCATTAGCATCAGGAGTTAGGATCGCATGGCCTCCACTGCTACCTACATAAAAAAGGGATTTGTATCCATTCAATTGAGTTACAAATTAATTTTTTTAGAATATATAAGTTACTTAAGTTATATATGCATTGATGGTGTAAAGAATATTTATATTATTAAATTACTTATAAGATAATTACGGTTTAATTTTTATGCTAAATATTAATTGACAACCTGAATTTTTTTATAATTGACATGCTATAAGTAAATAAAATTACACTGATAATAAATGTATATAACTCAAAACCATTTTTAATGTCTCTTTCTTTGAAGGTGTGAACCTCGCGAACACTAACTTTTTTACATTTGGCAATTTACCAAAAGTCCAAAATATGTGTCAAACTTTATAAAAATTACCAGGCCTAGAAAGTTGGTCCATGGTAGCGGTTAATCGGGCCATGCCTTCTGCGACGTGGTGGTAAAAATTGCATGGGGAGTCCTATTTGGTCGCCTCCTTTTAACTTATACCCGTTTTGTTTTTCATTTGCATTCGTACCTAATTTTTTTTTTTGTTAAAAGCGTTTTAAAAAGACAATTTTGCCCTTCTTTAATAAAAGACTATTGACAAACTGCAGGACAAAAATTTAAGCATGTTTTGGCTGTAGTTTTAACAAATGACCTAAAAAACTTCAGCTTGTTTACACTGAAGTTTCAGATAAAACTCAGGACAAAACTATAGACTGCATTACAAAACTTTAGCATATTTTGGTATGAAGTTTTAGCAAATAAACTAAATAACTTCAGCATGCATTAGCAAAACTCTTTAGAAAATTACATATTGCAAGACAAAAACTTAAAAATGTTTAGTCCGAAGTTTTAGCAAATCAACTAAATAACTTCAGCATATTTTGTCTGAAGTTTTAGCAAATGAACTAAATAACTTTAGCTTGCATTAGCAAAAACTCATTAGAAAATTACATACTGCAAGACAAAAACTTACGCATGTTTAGTCTGAAGTTTTAGCAAATAAACTAAAAAACTTAAGCATGTTTAGCCTGAAGTTTTAGCAAATGAACTAAAAATCTTAAGCATGTTTAGTCTGAAATTTTAGCAAATGAACTAAAAAACTCAAACATGTTTACTCTAAAGTTTTAGCAAATGAACTAGAAAAACTTATGCATGTTTTGTCTGAAGTTTTAAGAAATGAATTAAATAATTTCAGCATGTTTAGACTGAAGTTTCAGATAAAACTCATGACACAACTGTAGATTGCAGGATATATAACTTCAGCATGCATTAGCATGAAGTTTTAGCTTCAATGCGAAACAACTTCATACTATATTAGCATGATGTTTTAGATTCAACATGAAACAACTTCATGCTACATTAGCATGAAGTTTAGCTTAACATGAAACAACTTCATGCAAGTGTGATTCTGAAGACAAATCTGCATAAGTTTTTAAATTTTTGATAAAGCTGCTGAGAGGAGAGGAGGAGATCTTTTTTCACGAATGAGGTTGCAGATCACGCGATTAATGCGTGATGCAGGTTTTATATCTTTTGTCAGGAGTGTAATTATCATATTATTACGGATTTTTTTGTCAGCTGGCTACCAAATTAGTAATTTTTAAAAATAGGGTACATGTTAAAATGTGGCACAAATATAGTGTACGGCTACAAATCTCCCGACGTGGTGATAGATCTATTTTAATCTTTGTTATAGTAAAAATTGCACGGGCGTCCTGTTTAGTTGTCCATATTTAATCTGTACCTATTTTTTTTAATTTTTTTAAACTAGTACCCAATGTTTAAACAATTTAAGGTCTTTTTCTCCTCTTCTTCCTCCTCCTCCTCCTTCTTCATCGTTGTCTTCGTCGTCGGGTGACAGTGATTTTATATAGTGTTTTTGAACATATTTAAGTTAGTTTATGATGTTTTATAGTGGTGAGCTTCTGTGGTGCTTTATTTTTTACTATTGCTTAGGGTTTTCTCTTCTTTTTCTTAATTGTAAAATAGTTTCGTTAGATTTATTTGACCTTAAATGTAAATGAAGTGCAATTTTTTTACTTCAGACCTCTCTGACCATAAGGGCATAAAAATATTTATTGCACTTCAGACCTATTTGGCCTTAAGTGCATCCTAAGTGCAATTTTTGCAAGTTACTTAATTGGCCTTAAGTGCATTGCATGTCAGACTAATTTTTTTTTTTTACTTCAGATTCGATAAGTATGAAGTTGATGGTAAAGTGGGTAGGCTTGTAAATTTTTTTGCAAAGTGGATATAGCTTCAATTGTGATCCCAAAACCGGGTATAGATTCAAAAGCCCCTTTGTTATATGCATTTCCTCGAAAATATTCTCCTTTAATTTGCTTGCAATAATCAAAAGATTTTTACTGTAATTAGATTATTGCAAACCCTCCTTCAAGTTGATTGTTTCAATGTAGAGAAATTTCTTATTGGATACAGAATATTAGTATATTTGGTGAAGGACAAAAATTATTTTATTACTTATTTAGAAGTGGCAGTTTAGGTGTACGAATATTGCAATCCTGAACTGTTCAAAAAGCCTTATGAGTTGTACCTTATATTTGGGCTTATTTCATTAGTGAATTAATACGTGTATTCACTTCTCTTTACCAATCACGTGTCCTTTACTATTTCACAAAATACTAAACTTTACTCTGTTTGTCCAGCTTTCGCCTCCTCTCATTTTCTCTCCTTCATTGCTTTGTGCAATTTTTTGCCAACTTTGCTACTTCAATAGTCCAAGGTGTAATGTTTCTTTGGGTGAGTTTTTCAATTCTTTTTTGAGTTTTGTCCTCTGTCTTTGTTCAGAATTTTTTATGACTTGTGTTGTTTCCTGATTTTAAACTTAACAATATGAGAAAATTGTTATTTTTTGTTTTGTCACTGATGAAGTCTGTCTAGGTGTTGTTGCACTAAAAAGAATATGAAATACAGAATAGCTAAAAGACGGACTAAACTCTTTGTATCAGGTTGTCTGTCAAGTTGGTTTGAGATTCCGTCGGCTTTCTATTCACAACGCAGAGTTGATATTCATCTTTAAGCTTTTAAAGCTTATTTTTCTTCCTCCTTTGGCATGCAATCGGGTTTGTTTTGTTTCAAGTTATGCACAGATGGTGTGTGATTTTTATTGGTGTACGTGTGTATAATTTTAGATTCCCTATATAAGTAATTTCGAGCATAAACAAGGGTGAATTATCTTTTTTGGTAGAATGGAGTTGGGAATATAATGGAAGAAAACTTGCTTATTGCCTTAATATCCTAAAATTATCCAATGAGCTCGCAACTTCACAATACTTCTTTTTCTGGTTGGGATTATGACTTAATTTTTTAATATGATGTGATATATTATAGTCTGTAACTCAATTATCTTTTCTCGATTAGGTACTGAAATAGTTTCTCTATCCTTACTGACTTTTGTGTTCTTCTTTTTTAGGTGAGGGAATGGAAGGTTAGTGGACAGAAAAGTATACATATCAAGATTAGGTGAAGCAAAAGAATAACACAGAAAAATTAAGTTCACATCGAAGGATGGAGTTATAAGGTAAATGGCGATGTGTTTAGTTGTGTATTTCAATACATTGCCTTACTGCAAAATTAGCACTACATGATTAGGGAATTCACTAGCCAACACCAGATGGTAAACAAGACGATGATGTTGATTTTAGAGGAGTAACATGCTTCCCTACAGACACGCATTGATGTTTTTGGTGTCAAGTATTTGCTGAAAATCACCTTTCGATTTAGATTCTTTGACCTATAATGCCTAAGAAAATTGATTTAGATTAGTCATAATCTTATCTTCTGGAATTGTTTGACTAATGTTAGTTTGGCCATCACTATCACAAATTGCATTAGTTCTGCCATTTGAAACTATCTTTTACAGGACTCTGAGAATTAAATATTTATTGATGTCTTCATCGAAGCAGTAATAAAAATTTAATGTCTTCATCGAAAGTATATACTATTGATGTAAAAATATTGTAGATGAAAAAAGATCGAGTTTGTTTCTCTTTATTAGAGGGAGTAGTGGCACAAAGAGAACCTGTAACGTATTAGAAGTAGCGGGACAATACTTTTATTTACTTCTTCCAGTCCTCTACAAAAATTATTTGATTACTGAACGAAATGGAATACTTGAAAAATATTATCTATATTAACTAATATTTCTCATAGAAGTGCGCCAAATATTCTAAGATGTCTGCGAACTGAAAAGTCTGCAACATAAAATAGAATGGAGTAATCAAATTATATGTTGCTCGGATCCTTCAAAAATACAGCTGGGCGTGTTGGAGTTATGCATTTTTGGGGAACCCCATATGGGTGGGGCAGTATTTACGCAGGATCAGGCAACATTGATTAAATCATGATGCAGAAGAATCACGATTTTGTTGTATAGAAGACGATTTCTCTTAGAAAAGATCTATATGTGCTTTTCCAGCAGAAGAATATTTGTGACATCCCCAGTAGGTTTTAGATGCTCTGCATCTTCTCGTTATCGAGCTAATAAACTGTCACACACTACTATCGGATACTTAAAATGACCATTGATTATAATTGATTTTATTTTTCTGGGTAAAGCATTACCATTAATTTAAGTTGTACTTTTTACCTTCTCAAAAAAAAAAAAAAGAATCTAAGTTGTATTTTAGAATTAGTAAGTATACTCTTACCTGTGGCCAAGGAGCTACTGTAATAGGTTTTTCAATGCTTCTACTTAATATTAATTAAGCGTGAAGAAACATGCATGATATTCTTCTATTTAGTGAAATGAAGTGGTTTCGTCATCATACTTGTCATGTTATTACATATTACATAATTGGTTTCTATGTCTTCATATGTGCATGACATCTTACCACCTATATATGGGGACGGGGAAAAAGATGTTGGATCTATACAAGTGAATTCTCATGGAAATTCTTCTTTCTTCCTTGAGATATTCGATGTGGAGATAATTTCTCTCATATTATGCAGGTTGTAAATAAAATATGATGCTGTTAGAAATGCTCGAGCAAGAGGGGAGAGAATAGTAGTAAACAGTGCATCTTGGTTCAATTTGTTGCAATGGAGATCCGGAGGGACTTAATCGCCTCTTGGGGTGTATTGCTCAAATATTTTAGCTGATAGGCCCGTATCTTTTTTTAAAAAAGAAATAACGGTAGGCCCATGTGTTAGGATCAAATTGGGCCACCATTGTAAATTTCAACGGGAAACTTACACAAATGTCCCATATAAATCTCAACTTACCAACCTCTAGTCATTAGTCATAGACTTACCAAAACTAGCCAACAAAATTGAAAACCCAAATAATAGGGTTCTTTCTATCAAAGAATCACATGCAAAAATCACCTTCCATATTTTTAAGCGTAATTAGCAACATTATACAAGACGGCATGGAAATTTCATGGACCGGGTAGCAAATAAGGTGATGAAATATAAAAATCTATACAATATTCCAAAAATCTAAACAAAACAGGAACTTTATAGTTGAAATTCATTAAAAATATATAGATAAGTCAATATACAAAACTTGAGGAAGATTGGAGGTGATTTGGACTGGTTTTGTATCAAAATTCTTAATTAAATCGAGTTCAAAAAAGTCTTCTGCAACACATGTATCACACATGTATCACACATGAATCTCACACACAGCTATACATGGATATACATGTGATATACAATTGATACAAATATGATACATATATGATACACAAAAGATACACATATCATTTTTTTTTCATGTTCAGCTTTTACTTCGAATTTTCAATTCAAACCACCTCAAAACTTCAGCAAATCATCCCAAAAATGAGATTCAAGTTCCTTAAGTTGTGCCCAATCTATTCTAATAACACCCACTCAAAACAAAGCAAAAATGTGATTTTTTTGCTACAAATAGCTAATTGGCTAATTTGGCTAATATTAGTAATATTTTATCAATGGCCAATTTTTATAATGAGCTACTTATAAATGAACATAGCTGGTAATTTTACAATTTCAACTGTTTGCCTCGCCACAAGTTTTATGTCTTCTGCAGTATTTTCCTTAAAGTTCTTTCTTAAAATTCGTTGGAAGATGTTTTAGTTGAGCTAGAAAATCTTTGAATATATCTCAATTGAGGTTATGAGTCTGTATTTTGGGTACACGTCTCAGATATATTACTTGACTCTAACATCTTAATCGATTATTAAAAATTAATTTTATACTGTCCCGCTTATCATTCTCCTCTGCACCAGCTGCCATTAACTAATAGTATATCTTTTTTTTATGGGTATGTTGTTGCTCTTTTTTGTGATTTGGATTGCAAACTAGAGGATTATTATTATGTGCCAAAGAATGGAAAAAGTATTAAGTATGGCAATGCTCTTGCTATCATTATGTTCAACATTGATTTTAATATTAAATATGTTAAGTGTTATTAGTCATATTCAACTTGAATACATGTGAACTTTTGGATGGTTATATCACCTTACAAGGCTTCAGAATATGAATACGCTATAACATGATTCTATTTTAAAGTTATTCTCGGTGTTGGGCCTGTGCATAGCACGGGCAAGCATAGCTAGTATAAGAATATACGTAGTACTATATTTGGGTGATTGTAGCTCCTTTAACATGGATGGTTAATACGTGGATTGCATATTATACTGACGAATGAGTGAAAAAAATTAGGAGATGTCTTTGATATCAAGTAAATACACCTAGCAATAGCATATATTGTTGAAATTCGAATACAAACACAGAGCCTAACACAACGGAATATTAATAGGAATATACCTTCAGCCGTAGTTGTTCAAGTGATGTAGGGGATTGCTTTTGAAACCTTTAGCAGAAAACCTATAGAGCCTTCTCGCCTGTGTCTATCATAGGATGCTAGACTGATGGAGTCACAAGCGTATTTATAGGTAGGCTGGGACTCTTAGGCAAATATTTTAGCCCTAGGGTCTTCTCCATAAATTATAATTACCCTAGGGACTCCTAATATATGGTAATTTCTTTCCATCAAAGAAACTACCATATATGCATAACTACATAATATTATCTGATATATTTTTTCCTTTGGGAGACAAGGTAAATAATTTATTACCTTATATGTGGGCCACACTAGAAGTCTCTAGAAGAGACGGTAAATTTCTAACATTCTCCCACTTGGCTCACATATTAAAATCAGATAATCCTTTATGAGAGACAAACATATAATATGGCCTTAGACTTTATAACTCAACTAAAAGTTATGCAACAATTACTTTAGCTAGAACATATCATCACATGAATCATGGCGGTCATGCTCTTAAACAAACAATTCCTTCTATGTATTACAATGTACAATATGTTACAACAAAGTGTCAAACAACTTTATGAATGAACTTAATATAAGTCATTCAAAGTCCAACTTTATTGATCCAATGATCACAAATAATATATGAAAAACCAAAAATGTGCACTATCATGTATATCAAAATAAACATAGTGTCTAGACAAACTGTTAGAGAGCAAAGCAAGACTAAATTGAGCTACTAAGCCCCATATGAGTTACATGATCCTTGAAAATATTAGTCGGCAGACCTTTAGTCATAGGATCAACAATCATCAAAGTAGTACTAACATGCTCAAAATTCTCATGTTGCTTTTTCACATAGTCTCTAACCATCAAGTACTTTATGTCGATGTGCTTGCTTCGGCTGCCACTTTTATTATTCTTAAAAAAGAACACTGTAGCTGAATTGTCACATAAGATTCTCAATGGCCTTGAAATGGAATCGACAATCCTAAGGCCAGAAATAAAAAATTTCAACCATAACGCCTGTGATGTAGCTGCATAGCATGCTATAAATTCAGCTTCCATTGTGGATGTTGCAACAATGGTCTGCTCGACACTTCTCCAAGACACAACACCTCCAGCAAGAAGGAAAATGTATCCTGAAGTAGATTTACTAGTGTCTTTACATCCACCCAGATCGGAGTCTAAATATCCAATCACCTCCAATGAGTCAGAGTATTTATATGTGAGCTTAAAATCCTTGGTTCCTTGCAAATATCTCAAAACCCTTTTACCAGCTTTCCAATGGTCAAGACCAGGGTTACTTTGATATCTGCTAAGCATTCCTGCTGCAAAAGCAATATCAGGTCTAGTACAGACCTGTACATACATAAGGTTCCCAACAAGCGAAGCATAGGGAATGTCTTTCATTTGCTCCTTTTCCAATGCATTTTGTGGACATTGATTCAAAGAGAATTATTTGTCACCTTTAATTATGGGTGTTGCTATAGGTGAACAGTTTTTCATCCCGAATCTTTCCAGAATTCTTTCAATGTAGGCCTTTTGAGACAGTCCAAGTAATCTTTGGGATTTGTCTCCGTGAATCTCTATGCCAATGACATAAGAGGATTCACCCGTATCCTTCATCTCAAAATTCTAGATAAGGAACTGTTTAGTTTCGTGCAACAATCCCAAATCACTACTTGCAAGCAAAATATCATCCACATATAGGACTAGAAAAATATATTTGCTCCTACTTAACTTAAGGTATATACACTGGTCAATGATGTTCGCCGTAAATCCAAATGAAGAAACAACATTATGAAATTTAATATACCATTGGCGGGAAGCCTGCTTTAGCCCATAAATGGATTTATTCAACTTGCAAACAAGGTGACTTTTGTCCTTATCACAAAATCCTTCAGGCTGACGCTTGTATACCTCCTCTTCATGATCTCCATCCAGGAAAGTTGTTTTCACATCCATTTGATGTAACTCTAAATCAAAATGAGCTACTAATGCCATGAATATTCTCGATGAATCCTTCTTTGATACTAGAGAGAAGGTCTCATGGTAATCAATGCCTTCTCTTTGAGTAAAACCCTTGGCTACAAGTGTGGCTTTATATCGTTTGATATCACTAGATGAGTCTCTTTTAGTTTTAAAGACCCACTTGGAACCTATGGTAGAGGATCCCTTTGGTAATTCGACGAGATCACATACTTTGTTTTTAGCCATAGATTCTAACTCTTCTTTCATGGCATCATACCAAAGTGTGGAGTTTTCTCCACTCATGGCTTGTGAAAACGAGCATGATCCTCTTTTAGTCCAATATCATAATCAGACTCTTGGATATACAACATAGTCACTAGAAATTATTAGTTTTCGAACTCTTGAGGATTTTCTCACTCCCACTGGTTCAAGCACTTCTTCAGTGGGTTCAGGTAAAGCGGGTTGATCTTCATGTGGCTCCTCAAGTGGTGGTGGCTTTTGAATTTGTTGTTGTTCAGATAATTCATGAGAATTTTTCTGAGCATTATTCAAGTTCCTAATCAATAAAGGTAGCACAGGTGGTTTCTTTATTTCTTCCAATTCCACCTTTTGAGCCAAACCACTCCCACTCTCTTCATGCTTTTCAAGAAATTTAGTGTTTCTAGCCTCAACAATTTTAGGAGAATGAGAAGGACAATAAAACCTAAATCCCTTTGAGTTAACTGCATAGCCTATAAAATAACCGCTTATTATTCTTTCATCCAACTTCTTTAGTTGTGGGTTATAAACCCTCACTTTAGTTGGACATCCCCAAACGTGTAAATGATTTAATCCAGGTTTCCATCCTTTCCATAACTCAAAAGGTGTCTAGGGGACAACCTTGGATGGAACCCTATTTAAAATATACACAGCGGTTTTTAAGGCTTCACTCCATAAGGACAAAGGTAAGCTTGATATGCTAATCATGCTTCTTACCATGTCCATTAATGTTCGCTTCCTTCTTTCTGCCACACCATTTTGTTGTGGTGTTCCTGGCATGGTATATTGGGCAATTATACCTTCACTTTCAAGGAACTCAGCAAATGGACCCTTAACTTGTCCCTTATTCGTGTACCTACCATAATATTCTCCACCCCTATCAGATCTTACAATTTTGATCTGAGCACCAGCTTGTTTCTCTACTTCTATTTTGTAAACTTTAAAAGCATCAAGTGCTTCTAATTTGTTAAACAGAAAATAGAGATACATATTTCTTGCATAGTCATCAATGAATGAGATAAAATATCTCTCACCAAAAGGTCCACATACGTCTTTATGTACGATCTCAAGTAATTGAGAACTCCTTTTGGCACCTTTAGTTGATTTGTTGGTCTGCTTACCCTTTATGCAGTCCACACAAGTCGCAAAGTCAGAAAAATCAAGAGCTTTTAGAACTCCATCATTAACCAACCTTTTTACTCTATCAATAGAGATGTGTCCCAGTCTCTTGTGCCAAAGACTTGATGAGTTCTCATTGATAATACATCGCTTAGTGTCAATTTCTTTGTCATGAAAAGTTAAAACATTGCATTCAAATGTGGGGTCTAGCTCAAGTTTATATCAATTTCCATTCAAATTTCCAAAACCAATAACTTTATTATCTTTCAAAAGTTTCACAGAAGGATAATGAAAATTCAAATCACATCCACTAATCGATAGTCTTGAAAGAGAAATTAAATTTCTAGAATATTCTGGAACATAAAAAGTATTTTCTAGATCTAAGTGAAAACCATCCTTCAAAATGAGCCTATATGTCCCCACGCCTTCCACACGTGAACGCGTCCTATTGCCAGAATAGACGTATTGTTCACTTCCTATCGGCTTCCTCTGATTTAGAAAACCCTGCATTATTTTGGCAATATGAATTGTAGCACCAGAATCAATCCACCATGTATTATCAGAAACTTCAGTAAAATTAGATTCATAACGTACAAAGGTAAAATTACCTTTCTTCTCCAGCAATTTCTTGTATTTCAGGCAATCCTTCTTCCAATGTCCCTTCTTCTTACATAAATGACAAGTTTCTTTGTCAAAGGTGCTTTTCTTCTTCATGGGAACACTTTTGCCCTTCTTTGCATTTCTCTTACCATAAGTCACCATGTTAACACTTTCAGGTGTCTCATGCTTCAACCTCTCTTCTTCTTGAACACACATGGTTGAGAGTTCATTGATTGACCATTTATCCTTAAATGTGTTGTAAGAAATCTTAAACGGACCATATTCCACAGGAAGGGAGTTGAGAATGAAATGCACAAGAAATGGTTCAGACATATCCACCTCAAGGGACTTGAGTTTAGCAACAATGTATCTCATCTCCATAATGTTCTCACGCACTGTACGACTTCTGTCGAAAGTCATACTTCAGAGCCTCTTCATAAGGGTGCTGGCCAATGCCATGTCAGAGCTTACAAATTGTTCATCAATTGCCTTCATGTAAGCTTTGACCTTATCGCTATTAGGGATAAAACCCCTAATGCTTTGGCTTATGTGGGCTTTGATGAACATTAAACTTAAGCGATTAGATCGCTCCCACCGCTCATAATCAGCCTTAGCCGCTGGCGTACTTAATTCCTTGGGAATAAGTGGTTCATCCACACGGAGTACCAGCTCCAGATCCGAGCACCCTAAAGTGAGAAGGACTTTCTCCTTCCATTCAGTATAATTGTCACCAGAAAGCATTGAAATTCGAGCATTGTCATTAAAAATAGCGGTAGGAAATGCGGTAAAAACTGCAAAACAAGGATAAACACACATAAGCTATGAAGTACAATCCATCAAAGGAATCGCGTAAAATACCGATTGTAAGTAAATTCTTGACCTTCCTGTGGGGAGAGGTTGCAACCCATGCATAGAATTTACTTTACTTTATTAGACTAGTAAACCAAAACACATTTAAATCAATTTGTAATAAGATAATTTTCAACTTAAAGGTTTGCTATCTCATTCCTATTAATCCCACCAAAATGGTTAGGGCCGGGTTACCATTTTAATGAGATAACTAGACTAAATAGATGTCATTATAATTTTAATCACTAAACCTTATGTGATTAAATAACTTAATTTCTTTTATATCAAGTACACAAGATGTTGTGGCCACTCCAAAGTACATCACATAAAAGAAACTCAATAATGACATCTCAAAGTATTTTACCTTAATTATCAACTTATCTAGAATGTTGATTGTTTTTTAAAAAAAAATGGTCAGTCTAGATGTAAGTATGACTTTATATTTCTCCAAAAATTAATTCTTATAATAAAAATACTATAAGAGCTTCTCAAATATTAGCGAAGGTTGCTGTTATAAAACAACAGAATGAATATACAATACCAAAAACAATTTTATAATTTTAACAACTTAAAGACTTTAGTCTCAAGGTGATTACGTACGTAGTGTCATTTGTGACGTGTGTGCAAAATTTCAGGTCATTCGGATGTGATTTGATAGATTTTGGCTTCGTTTGCGGAAATTGGAATGACCTGAAATTTTGCACCTGAAAGTTGTCCGCGCAGCACGTGAGTTGTCCATGCGGATTCTGATATTGAGACTATAGCACGTGATTTGTCCGTGCAGTACGTGAGTTGTCCGTACGGATTCTAATGTTGATACTATAGCACGTGAGTTATCCGTGTAGCGCGTGAGTTATTTGTGCGGATTATAGCGCTTGGGCTGAAGGAGACCCTCTAGAGTCTGCACACCCCTAGTGACCGCATGTACCTATTGAGTGTGATTATTGAGGGCTGAGAGCCGTGTGATTGAGCTGTTGAGATGAGTTGAGTGACTGTGTCTTGAGAGACTGTACCCGCTTTCCATTATTGTTGCACTTACTATTTCATGTACTTGTTATATAACTCTCTGAAGGACTTGTTACTGGTACATGAGCACAAACTAATTTGACTTAGACTGGTTAATTTGAAAGCATGCCAATTTCTTGACGAAGTTTACTGAAATAAACTGTATTTGCATAGCTCATCACTGCCACTCAGTTCCTTATTTATTTCTGTTACTTACTGAGTTGGAAGTACTCACGTTACTCCCTGCACCTTGTGTGCAGATCTAGGCGTATCTGGGCATGGTAGCGGCTGTTGACTATTCCAGTTGCTGATTATCTCGGAGATAGCAAGGTAGCTGCCTGGCGATCACAGCCCTGCTCTTCTCCCTCTTATCTTCCTTGGTTGTATATAGTTATTTTTCTGGACTATGTTAGTCTTGCTATCTTTTAGAACAGTTTGTAGTAGTTGCTCATGACTTGGTGAAACCCCGATGCCGGGCTTTCTTTTCCGCACTTCTGTTTGATCTGAATTCCTTATTTAAGGTTTTTACATTATATAGCTTGGGATTTGTCATTTAAAGAAAAATATCATTTTTGTTTTAGAAAAGTGTCGGCTTGACTAGTACCATGATAGGCGCCATCACGATAGGGTTAGTTTGGGTCGTTACAAGTTGGTATCAGAGCCTAGGTTACATAGGTCTCACGAGTCATGGGCAGGTTTAGTAGAGTCTCGTGGATCGGTATGGAAACGTCTGTACTTATCTTCGAGAGGCTGCAGAACCTTTAGGAAAACTTTACATTCTTGAATTCTTATCGTGCGAATCTGTTGATTCTGGTAACTAAACATCTGTTAGTCTATTCTCTCACAGATGGTGAGTACACGTGAAACCGGTTAGGACGGACGGCCACCAGTACCACCAATTGGGGCCGCGAGAGGCGGAGGTCGTAATAGAGGCCGTGGTAGGGAAAGTGGTGTAGCCCGCACTGAAGATAGGGCAGCATCTACGGATCCACTAGCTGCCCCAGTTCATGATAAGGCCCAGTTGTGGATGCTCCGGCGGGACCAGCTCAAGCCCCGGCTGTGCCTAATGTTATTCCAGGTCTTTAGGAGACTTCAGCTCAGATTTTGACCGTGTGCACCAGTCTTGCTCAGGTGGTCGCCGTTTCTGCTACAACAGCTACTTCCCAGGGCGGGGGAGGCACTCAGACTCCCGCCGCTCGTACACCCGAGCAGGTTGTTCAGGGGCTTCAGACACAGGGGGCACAAGCAGCCCAGCCGGTTGCACCTGCTAAGGATTACGTGGTTCCAGTCCTTCCTGATGACGAGCAACGTAGATTGTAGAGATTTGGTAGACTTCAGCCTCTGACTTTCAGTAGTGCAGAGGGCGAGGATGCCTAGGGTTTCTTAGATAAGTGTTAGAGGATTCTCCGTACAGCGGGTATTCTAGAGACCAACGGGGTCTCGTTCACTATATTTCAGTTCTCTGGAGCTGCCTTTACTTGGTGGGAGGTGATCGCTGCCGACTCGACACTACACTAAGGTAGGAAGAGCGGGTCGCAATAGATTTTACCCGAGTAGTGGTTCGGGATCGAATTTCCACAGGGAGCTAGTAGTGGAGTTGTATTATCTGTCTAGTCTAGAGATGCGCTTGTACTTCTAATGTCACTTCAAACATTTTGGTTTTCTTTGATTTTTATATCTACTATTATAAAACTAATGATTAAAACTAAATTATGCTAAGAGAATATTGCTAAGTTGTATTTAATATAGAGAAAGGAACTAGGGTCGTGGCATTGCCTAGGTGGCTAATTAATGGGTAGATGCTACTAAGGATAGATTGACATATTTGGGGCTTATGCTATAACCGTTGCACAATTGTACCCACTCCCACACCTCTCGGTAGAGAGAGTGATTTTTTCCAATTGACTCTCTCGAGACCAATTGGGTAGGCCAATTAGATCAAGCAACTAGGGTTCAAGTAGGGTGATTACTCTCTTGAGATTTAACCCGTTAATTGGGACTACCATTTCTCATGGGTCCATCCCAATTCCTTGTTGGGTCAATTTTGGGGTCATGGACTCTCTTTCTCAAGAAGAGTTAAACCCACAAAGCTAGAATCAGTGTTTGCAACCACCAATCCTTAATTAAAACCTAAAATCAACCTAAATAACAAACACCCAATATCAATCTAACCTTAGATGGCAACACCCATCAATTACCCACACTAGGGTTGAGCCACAACCCTAGCTATAGGTTTAGCTACTCATGCTAGATACAGAAATTGAAGAAATAGATGAAGAACTAAGCATATTAATTAATTGCTAAGAAGAAACTAGAATAATAAAGAGCAAAAGTGCCAAAAATGGCTACAATATTCGGTCTCACGAGCTCAGCTGCGTTCAGAACATAAAACTTAACCTAAAAATGGTAAAAGGTCCTATTTATACTGGGCTGGAAAAACTGGACAAAAATACCCCTGCGGTGTCAGCGCGGACCGCGCAAAAAGGACCGCGGCCACACTGGCTCTTGGACTCCTGATTTCAGCCTCTCTGAAGTTGGGGACCGCGGACCGCGTGGAAAAGCAGCGCGGCTACGGTGGAAGTTGGCGCGGCCGCACAGAAACAAGCGCGGGCCGCGTTGCTTGGAATTGCCAAAATTAGGGCTCTCTGAATCTCTGCTCCGCGGACCGCTTAAAAGAGTAGCGCGGCCGTGGAGCCTGACCGCGAGAATTCAACCGCGGCCGCGTAGCTTGCCCCCTTGAAACTGCCATCCTCTGAACCTCCTAGTGTGGCTGCGTTCACATTTGCGCGGTCCGCACTAGGTTCTCTTTTCCTCAACTTACTTAGTCTTTGACACTTGAGCAGGTTTCACTCCTTTTTGAGGCGATCTTTGACATTCGTTGCTTTGTCGATCAAACCTGCAATCAAGTACAAGTTGTGAGCATTTTGGTTCTATTTTGTAGCAATTTATAACCAAAGCATAGGCAAGTAGGGGCATAAAACACGTTAAAATCCTAACTTATCAACTCCCCCAAACTTAAGCCTTTGCTTGTCCTCAAGCAAACAAAATAAGACACACCCCTTAAAGGAAAATCCAAGTAATTCCAGCTATCCTAAAGCAACCTCAACAAGCATCAATTGGGACTAATAATTGCCCTCAATACGAATGCATCATTAACACATTTAAACGTTTGAAAAACCATGGATCATGTGTGACACAAGAGCATCAAGAGTTGACACATTTCATCAAAGAACTTATCTCAATTACTTTGGTCATTGTGGAACCCAAACTCATACATCCTCAACTCTCCCTAAGCGAACCTCACCTTTTGGAGTATTAACACACAAATCAAGGTTGATGGAGTTTCACTCATCTCTCTCAAGAAGAAGGTCACAAGTCCGGCTCTAGGTACTATATGCTTGCCCCTTATGTAAGTATCCACTAATGTAGGTTTCCTTCAACTCAAGATCCTAGGCTTTTGTGGAGTCATTATGAAGGCTTTTGGGTAAGGGTAGGACATGTTTTTATTCAAGTGGGTTCAATCTTCCCTTAAGCACTTCTTTTGATTCATTTTGGCACAACTCTCTTGACTCTTTTGAGTATTTCACTTCTTTAAAAGGGGTTAGAGAGACACATTGTCACTCTTTCTTATGCAATTCAAAACGTTTCTCCTTTTTCTACTTTTTCCACACCTTTTTCACTTTTGTTTTCCTTGAATCCCTTTTTATTCTTGTTCACTTTGGACTTTCTTTTTGTCTTTTTTCTTTTCTTGCTTTTTCATTGCCTTCCTTTTTCTTTTGCTTTTGTACCTTTCTACCACTTTGTTTCCTTTCTCATCTCTCCCCCCAAACTTAGATATTTGCCATTATACAAGGGAAGATTTGGGTGTCAAGAGAGGGTAATCATTTAGAACGGGTATCAGCTTGTAGCATTGGTTCTTGAAAGAAAAGGTTTAAGGCTCAAAAGGGTTAACTAGGGATCAT